AGTACCTCACAGAAATTGTTTTATTCCATTTGCAGGAGGAGGTTTACTCAAGCTGCTTCTTCCTTTTTTTATTTTTATTTTTGGCTTGAAGAGGGTTTAAGATCCTGCTTTGACATCTAGATTCCAAAAGCTATGTGAACATGCAATGAAACTAAACCAAATCTAAAGATCTTAATTTGGCATCAGAGTCATTTGAAACTGAGAAGGGAAGAAGGCAGATCTGGGAGACAGACAAAGGGAGCATGTATCACTGAACCAACTGGCTGTGCTTCTTCTAAGCTGCCCAGGGAAACTGAGTTTGTAATTCTTATCACAGGTGATATGAACAGGGCATCCAAATTGCTTAACTAACTTGAAAAATCTCATTCATTGTTTTAGTGATTCTCCAGCAATCAGGCCCTGTGCCTTTTCCAAAGATGTTCCTTTAACTCCTCCAGGGACAACTGACTTTTAAATTACTGGATGAAAGGATTTTTAGTTCTTCTTTCCTAGTTCTTTTTAGCACAAAGAGCTATCATCTAGGATACTGAAATAAGGTCAGAAAGCATGTATCCAGTGTTTTCCCACATGTTGTCTTGTAGCAAAACTACAGATCAGCTGCAGCAGGCTGTGATTTCTAAGATAATGCTGCTGCACTGTTCTTTTATTTGAGAAGACGAGAGTTACAGTTCAGGGAGGAGGGACAGCTTGACCATGTGTTTCTTTCCCTGTTACTCCTACAAGCCACATTGTGAGCTGAAAGGATGGGAATTGACAGAGCAGTCATCATGCTAGCCCCAGGTAGACTAGGATCATACAGGGGAAAAAGACAATTAGCAAACCGGCCAGAATAGGCTTCCCCTTCCTCGTGTCCTGCTGGATGTTTCACTGCTGTGAATGGAGGTGAAACAGACTGTAGCTTATTTATACAAATGTTGCCCTCTTTGAAGAAAAATGAGTAAGGATTATTCATTTTATTACTGGCTAATGGACCCTTTTTTCATGGGATGCAGTAGCGGATGAGGCAAAATAACTACATGACTGCAGTTTTTTGGCTGTCTTTACTAGAAGCTGCTGTTGTCCTTGGGCAGCCATAAGCTGCTTGCTCTACTGGATTTTCAGCCAATACTTTGTCTTTCTATGGGTTAAGTGTGGGCTTCTGGCATTCACACATCCTGAAAGATTTTCAGGAAAAGTCCACTTTCTAAAAGAGATATCTAGGCATGGTGTAGGAAAGTCTATTTCTACATAACTTTGATGTGATTTGGCCTACAGTCCAAAGTTCCTCCACACCATTTTTTTCCTATTACAAGGTTTAGATAAGACTTTCCATTAAATATTAACGCTGACTTCTTACTGTGTCTCATACACCTCAACTACAATTTGTGGTGTTGAGGATGTAATGTGGCTTTCTTTCTTAATTGTCTTCATAGTGGTATAATTGTTACCATAATAGATGATGCAATACCATGGTGCAAGAAATAAGGAAAAAAGATATCTACCATTCATGTAAATAAAGGAAACCTTGAATGGCAGTGTGGCAATGATGTCAACTTAATTCAAAAAAAGTTTAGTTAAAAAAAATACCTAGTCACATCAGCCTGTATCAACAGTTCTCTAGGGGCTCAGAGTCTCCTGGCTGATTTCAATTGTATCTGGAGCTGTTGACCCTGTTGCACTGGGAGCATGTGTGAATGGTGAGGGAGGGGGGAACAGAGGGTAAAAGCAGTCTCCCAGTCTGAATCTAACTGAGCTGATGTTGTGGATGAAGCCTTTCTGAAGAGAATGCTGCCAAGTTAATAAGAAAGGAAGAAGGGAGAAAAAAAATAGTGAACCAGCTCAAAAACAAAAATAAGGCTGAGGTGGGGCACTGCTTAGTCTTAATCTGTCCTTATATCATGCAAACTGTTTTCTCAATACATTGCTGCAGTGTCCTCTTTAACTCACTTGTGGGAAGTCTGAGCACTTGTACATCCATCCATTATGAAAGAGGAGTACTGGTCTGTGGAAGTGGACTTCAAAACGTATTTGTGGGAGGCTCAGCACTGCTCTTACACGAATTCTTGACAAGGATACTGTGGTACCTGCTTTCTCAAGTTGCTCTCCTGGTTTTGACATTTTCAGTTTTCTCCTTTTCTACAGAACTATTGCTGCTCCTCAGAGTCTTGTTACAGGTAAGTTCAGACTTGGCCTTGTGCCAGCATGGGGGGGCAGCCAGTACACAAGTCAGATGTAGGGGAAAAACCTTCATTCCCTCTTTTAGTGTCAGGTATGTACTGTCCACCTGTTTCTGAATATATGATAGGGGAGCCATGTGGGTCAGATGCCTCCTCACAGCCACATGCTTTTTCTCCCCCGCAGTAAGATAAACTGTGCTGTCTCCTTGATCTCTAGCAGAGAAGAAGTGACTCTTTCAAGAGGCAGGGTAGGCATTCAGCCACTCTGTTCTTAAAAGAATTGCCAAAAAGGTGCCTACTTAGGTCTTACCCTGACACTGTATTCCTTATTCACCCAAAACAGCCATAGTGAGCATGTGTCCCATGAATACATACAAAGAAGGTTATGTGGAGCGAGATAAAAGCTTGTCTTAGCGCTGCTGTCCTTGCTTCTATTAAGAGATGCCATATGCCTTGTGAAATAAGTAGGCTGCAAAAAGTAGAACATTTCTAGAGGCAGGGAGCAAACACTGATTCTTAAAAACTGAATACTGACTGAACTCAAAGCGATACACACAACGCTGACAGCTCTGCAAGGTGGTGCTCAGCAAGAGCAAGTGATGATTTTCATCACCAGCACACATTTCACATAGGTAACTAAGTACATGACTGCTCAGAAATCCTTGCAGTGCACTAACAATGCAATCACTTTTTAGAGTCATTCTAAGGGAGTAGGGGAATTCAGCAATTCATAATTAATCCTAAAAGCACATTTTTTCTAGTTGGTTTTTTTTTTGTGAATTTTTTTTGTTGTGTCATTTAATATGAAGCAATCAGCTGCAACTGTCTAGAATTTAGGGGAATTTTTGCTTCTAACACTGATTTTAACATTTAACATTAAATGACTGCAGGGGCAATAGATTACGAGTTGAAAAAATGACAATTACAAGGGAAAGGCACATGCAAATGTCTTCAATGGGCAGTTCAGAAACACTTTGTTTTATCCCCATTTGTTTCTTTAACTGCCTACATTAAGGTACAGTAGAGTTTTGGACTTCAGTGCGGTGGTTATTAAGTCAGCAAAAACAATTTCCCTGGTGTTAGAATTTAGTCAGGGGTTATTCCATTTTATTAATGTTCTACAGACTGCCATAGAACAAAGAGGATTAGTCTCAAGCATCTCCATAAATCTCCAACCATCTAGTTCAGAACATAACAAAAAGGAAGCAAAAAAACCCAACTCTAAACTTAAAACTAATTAAAGTGAAGAAAATTCTAACAACCCTTGCATCCTCCTCAGTTTGGCAACCTAAAATGGAGCAACAATGCAATCAAAGATCAACCACTAAGAAAAGAGTTTCTCAAAACTGCCTAGCCTCGGGTCCTACAGGTTAGGGGTACACCTGGGGAGTGCAGCTGGATTTTACAACTTTTGGCACATTTCCCTGGATAGGAGTGTGAGATTTTTATCCTGCTTAGAAAATCTCTGCCAAAGAATGTGGATACTAATTTTAGAAGCACCTGCAGCTCATTATAGGTCAGCCTGACTTTGGTTTCCAAGTGTTGAAATCTAATTTTAAGGTTGGACACAGGCTTTTAAATCACATCAATCAGAATGTTCTGTCTTATAACATTTTCATTTTCATTTTGGCCAAACATGTACATAGTGATTGTTATCCTTACTTCAGGTTATACCAATCATTTATAAATTGTGTTTCTCATCAACCACTTAGCAACAAACCTATGGCTCATAATTGCTGGAAAATTGAGAGGTGGCTGAACAACTCTGTATATTCCCATTGCTGAGAATTTCAAAATAAGAACAGTGGTATCAACGATAAAGAATAAAGAATAAAGTTTCAGTTCTGAGCCTTTTGAGGATTTGTTTAGAGGCACAAACAAAAAAAAAGTTACTTGTACTGAACTAATGTTCCACTTCTGTCTTCTCTCCATTTAAAAAGCTTCCTAAAACCTGGAAAAACTTGCCCCTCTTGCTCTAAGATACTGCCCCTGAAAGAAACATAACCACATAGCTATTAAAATGGCATCAAAATAGCTAAGTAATCTGTTCTTGGAAATTAGCTTTGCGTTTATGTGTTATCTACAAATATACAAGATGATAATGACAGTGGCTAGAGGTTCATTATATCTGGCAGTATGTTAGCCTTTCAGAGGCTATCATGTTTTAAACATTATTTTAATAGTATAATCCCCATATTATGCATGGACAACCATAGTTTACTTGGCATTGGAGAAGAGTTCGTTCCTAGTAGCAGAGGTTTTGTATGTTTTAATTCACTCATATAAATAGTAAGATGACCATATTTCCCAAGGAGTATGCAGAATGTATTATGTTCTTTATTTTGCCCAGTACACATTAACATTTCAACAGTAGCTTTGAAATTAAAATCAGGACTAACAAAAACAGCTCTCCCTCTTCAAGGCAGAACTCAGCTCCTCTATGCCAGCAATGTCTAGTGGGTTGCCTTCCCTGGGTGAGATCCAGGGCTATGTTACAGTAAACTGGTCCAGTGTGATATCACAGTTATAAAAAATATTCCATTCTGTATCAAAACTAGGCACATGCCTTATATTTGTATGAAGAGAAGATCAACAGAGCTGAGCATTTTTGCTCTCGACTATTCACCTCTGGCCTTCTACATGAGGAGAAAAATATCTTACGTTATTTCTAATTGGTAACTACAAGAGTCTAATTTGGGTTAGATGGTAGTTAAAAGGAGAGTGACATCACACTTGGGTCAGTATTGGTGGATATCTAAAAGCACAACCTCTCATTTGTATTGCTTTAAAATGTACACAGTATAGATGTAGATTAAAAAAAACTACCAATATTTTGTGGTGTTGAACCAATTAGAAGGGATGATGCAAGGTTTTACCAAATGAGATTTATAGATACAAATTTCACTGTAGAGTATGTTTTAGACAAATGTGTCTTTTTCTTTAAGTAAATCCTACACTGTAGGTTTTTTTTTTCTTTTTCTTTCTGTAGTGGTAGAAAATGTTGAACAATTGTCCATGAGCATGAGCCAGCGGTTCATTGCTGATATCCCCAGAATGCCAATATTTGCAATGCAAACAGTCAGTACAATTTACCAGTTCTATGAAAGGCCCTGACATATCTGCCTCAAGGTCTGGAGGCTCTGCTGTATAACCACAAATAGTCTTTCCATTTTCATGTAACCTTTTGATACAGTGACAGCTGCATTAAGCTGCTTCTGCCTAGCAATTCCACATGCCAGGCTGGTTTAATTGGTTTTAATGCCACAGAAAAAGCACTGCTAGCAGAATACCATCAAATCATTTTCATATTGAACCTTCGTGGTCCAGCAACCTCCCCTTCAACCACAGCACCATTGTTTTTGCGAGGGACATATTCAAGGTCAATGCTGGTTTTGTGTTTGCCTTTCCCTCGGCTCCACACAAAAAGAAGGAGGAAACAAAATAAAACCACTCCAAGGAATGTGAAACAGCCCATAGCTGTGGACACCAATATTGTCTTAAGGTCCAGAGAGAAGGTGTTTGCATTAGTTCCATTGGAACTTGTGTCGTTAGAGTCTGTCATATACATAGGGGTCCTGTTGGCGTAAAGGAAACGGTCTGAAGTAAACCCCTTTACCGTAAGGGAGGCCGAATAAGTGTCGTTCCCAGCTGCGTTACTAGCAATACAAACATAGATCCCAGTGTCCTGGTCTTGAGCAAATCGGATCTCCAGGGTGCCATCTCCCAGCACAGTGGCTCTTCCATTTGATTTAGTTGTGATCAGTCTCCGACGTGGGGTAACCCAGGATATGGTAGGCTGTGGATCCCCATCAGCATTGCACGTTAACTGCACTGTCTGCCCTTCCTCCACTACCAGGTATTGCAACTTCTTATCTTGTATCTTGGGCTTCTTACAGGTGAAATAAAAGGAAAGAGCTGTGCTGTGAAAGTCTTTGAATGACCTCTCTTTTACACTGTCTGGGCCAGCACACATCGGTGGCTGGCCTCCAAACTGCAAAGTGGGTTGCCTCTGTAAAATCCAAAGGAGACGGCAGTCACAGGCCAGAGGATTGTTGTTAATGCAGAGGACCTCAAGGCTTTTGGGGGAATGGAATATATTCTCTTCCAGGGTTTCTAGCAGGTTTTGGGACACATTAAGCACACGTAAGAATCGGAGCCCTTGGAAGGCATGTGGTTCAATGGTACGTAGCTGGGCCCCCACCATGTGGAGTTCCTGCAGGCGCACTAGATCTGAAAGCATGCCTGCTTCAATGGTGCTGATAGGGTTGTAAGAGAGGTTTAGATGTGTCAGGTAAACCAGATGTTTAAAAGCAGAGTAAGGTACTGCAGACAGGTTGGTGTTTGTGATGGAGAGAGAAGTAAGGTTGAGACCATATAGACTGTTGGCAGGCAGCATGTCTAGGAGGGGCCAGGTATCTATCTCTAGGTCTTTCAGGCGAAACAGTCTTTTAAAGGCATATGCAGGCAAAGCGTTAATGTTGAGCTGTTTCAGATGCAGACTGATGAGGTTGTGGAGGTGAGAAAGAGCTTCTGTTGGTACAGCTGTGAGGTTACATCTCTCCAGGGTGAGCTGCTCCAGGCTAAGCAGTCCACTAAAGGCTCTGTGTGATATATAAACCAAATCATTGTCCCCAACCTCCAGGAATTTTAGATTATGCAGATCTTGGAACATGTAGTCTAGCAAAATGACAATCTTGTTTTCACTTATATCAAGCTTTGTTAAGTTTGACAACCCAGTGAACACCCCAAGGGGGACCAGCTTCAGACGGTTTCCTTTCAGCCTCAGGGAGCGCAAGTTGAAGAGATTGTTAAAAGCTCCAGGCTCCACATTGGCAACTATATTGTCACTGAGATCGATCTCCTCCAGCAAAGGGTACGATGTGAATTCCTCAGGGTTGACGCTCTTTCTTGCTGAGGTCCAAGATTTTGGTCTCAATGGGAATGCCCTCTGGGATGGACATCAGACGCCTTCGGTGACAGCTGACGGATTTGTTCTGTGCCGAGCATTCACAGCGGGCCGGGCAGCCTATGGTGGGGCCCATGAAGACCAGCAGCACAGCCAGACCCAGGAACAGCTGCCAGCATGATACAGCTGTGTGACGCATGACTCCACTGATCCGGTCTAACCCTCCGTCACGGGCCTGTGGGGATGAGGATGGGAAAGAGGAGAAGTTACCTCTGCAGCAAAAGGAGATCTCTGCCAATTTTATAGTACCATTTCAAAGCAGGCACATGTATTTTCATTTCAAACAAACCAATAAAACCTATTATGAATGGCAGGAGCAACAAAAAAGAAGATTTTCCTTCATTATCATTGGGCTTGTCAAAGGATCTGTTTATCCAGCATTTCCCATCCAGATGTCAGAGACAAAACAACTTTTCCTACTGTAAACAGTAAAAGAGGTTAGGTTTTATTCTTTTCTCACTCTCAGTGGGTCTGCTCAAGATACTGCTATAACTAATGCAGAGATAAACACCATACACTCTGCAAATAAGGCTAATTACGTTTGTAATAAGTTTACAGCATTGGGCCTCTGTGAGGTGATACAAAACTCGGCTTTTGCCTTTCCTATTCACGTCAGTGTTTTAAGACAAACCTTAATGATATATTATCTTCAAGAAAAAGAGCTCCTTGACAGTGAAAAGATTCCTTTTAACATTTATTGCATACATTACAGCTATAAATAGATGGAGCTTGATCGCACATACACATACACAATGGCTCAGATGAGGAAGGAAGAACTGGTGCATCTCTGATTAGAATTTGTATTAAGGACAAATTCACTCTTTGCATTTAGTGCACAGAGAGATTTTATGTGATTTTTAGAACCGAAGACCTGAGAAAGGTTTACAGAATACATCTTTGTATTTCCAAGCCATGTAAACTACCTCTGAGTGAGAGAAAACCAAGATAAGATGAGCTGGCTGTGTTTAAGCAGCACAATGTCCAAAGAAGCCCAACAGATTCTGTGGAAATCACAATTAGTAAGAGATTTATTCATTCCTGCCTTCAGGTTAAAACTGAGGATAGTAGGAGACAAGGTAACCTCTATTAAGGCTGTACTTTGCAGGTTTAGTCACCAAAAGCAAGAGATTTTTTCAAGGGTAGCTACTGAACAAAGACACTCAGTAACCCATTTCAAAGGAAGAAGAACAAAAAAAAGAATAATGTAGAATAATGTAGGTGTTCATTAAAGGAAGGTGTGTCTAAGACACTTGCAGAGTAAGGCACGCTGCAAGCAAGGACTGTGGAAGTGCCTCAATCCCTGTGGTACAGACAACTTGATGAGGCCAAGTGGTAGTATTGGGAGTTGGGCTTCACAACATTAATAAACCTTACAAGGTACCTCAGGCCTTGTGAGGCCTTTTCCGTATTGGTTAATTTGGGCTTCATTTTAGTTGTACTTGTAAAATTATTTACATAACTCTGGCCTGTAACTTCCTCTCAGGTCTGAACAGATGACTATTTCCCACCTGGTCCTACCCATAATGACAAAATTATGCAATGGCCAGGCATTCACTGCCTCACCTGCATCTTTGGGCTTTGAGAATCATCTGGCTAATGCTTAAGAGGCTTTCAACTTAAATTTGAGTCAAGTTTTGTTCACCTGTGCACAGTCATGTGGATCACATCATAAAAGAAATCCTCCTCTACACAAAGAAGGACTCATACATTTAAACAAATATGGTATAACTAAATTTAAGATCCTATCAGACAGTTATTTTAGCAAATAAGCTGTCTGAAGCACATAAAAATAATAGTGATTAAACCCCAGACTGATGAAGAAGAAACTCCCACCAGTAACTCTGCTGCAACAACACCGTACTGGCAAACAACTTGGTAACTCACCCAATCATCCTGCCTGAGAGAGAACGGTTGCCCTCTCAGACTGTGGATGAACAGAAGGGTGGGATTCAACATGCAAGAAAAAGAGCAGATACTTGGATCTACTGATCTTATTGTATCATTAACAATCCTAAACAGAAACTGAGTGGTTCGGATTGTAAACATTATCATTATTGTAACTGGACTAAGTAATAAACAGCTGCTATGCTTTGACTGTTAAAAATTCAATTGGGTTAACAATAAATTCTCTAGGAGCTGCATAAAAATTGTGTTCTTTAACTGACCATAAATGAATGGTACACATATTAGTCCTCTCATAACTCAGTAGAAGAATCTCACTCTTGACTGAGGGGGCTTATTCTTTCCACTCTGACACTTCTATGCAGAGACTAATAATATGAGGCAAATTGCATACTGTTTTTGTGATGTAGTCTGGGGACCTGGATGAAGACTATTCTTTATTATATTACCTACAAAAGCACATTTCAACTTTGTCCTAGAAGGACAACCTGCTAAGATTCATTTAGTTTCCCCCTTAAGTTGTAGTCTTGCAAGTAACTGTTGCTAGTTATGTCCAGCTGTGACAAAGGTTTTCAGAGATAAACTTCACTTCATTAGGCACTAAGTTAAAACTGGAAATCTATAGCGGTCTGTGAGTTAGGTGTTTGCAATGAATTCAGATCAAAGGGGCTTTCAGGTGCTCTGATCATTACTTTCAGAGCTCAGCCTGTGAGGTTAGTGCTTTCACACTGATACTTCTAGCACACAGGGAATTAATTTCCTACCTTATTCACCTAACTCATGAAGCACAAAGTAAACAGGTTCAGTGGAAGACAAGCACCCCTGGAGTGTTTGTTTTAGATAGCAAAAATACAAAATGCTTTTTGCAGCTATCCGAGCCACTTGGTAACTGAAACTTCTGAGGAGTGTAAAGTAGAAGATGGACAGTATAAAAGATGATAAAAGGATTTTTTGTCTGTTCCTGGAATAAAGAAAAGTAGTGTTAATAAAGCACTTCAAACATTAACAGTTGCCTTCTGCAAGAGCATCTGCACACAGATGAAGATGAATATGCATTTATCTATAAGGGTGCGTACGTGTGTGTATGCATTTGTGGGCAAGCAAGACTCAGAACTGAGATTTAAGCTGGAGGAGATTACACACCAATAAGGAAAAACAATTATATTAAATCACAAGTCAGAAAAACAACGATTACTTGGATCAATAAGTACAGGTTAGAAGAAAACATAAATTAAATGGATTATTTCAATTTACATTGACCCAGATGATACTACCATGTTTCTTGCTAATCACATCTGTGACTACACCCTTAGATTTGAGCTGCTTTGTGCAAAAATGGCTTTATCTGCATTATGCAAAAAATTTAACCTTACCTCATTGTACAAATAATGAACAAAAGGTTAAAAAGGTCTAGCAAAGGAAATATAGGCAATGTAAGGATTTCTGACTCCTTGCAGGACAAGGCGAATGTTAGAAGAAGCCTACAGTGAACTTTGACCAGCTATTGCATATGGTCCAGTTTGAAATTAATGAATGTGAAGCAATATTTTCAGGACATGTCTGGTAACATCACTAGCAGGGCCTTCCTTGGACCTTCAGTGTGAGAACATTTTAAAAGATACATCTTCATCCCTAATGTATATTTTGTGTTAGTGTGATCACCATTGCTTATTATTACACATCCATTAAACAACAATGCTGCTGTTTAAAAATCTGAATGAAATTATACTATTAAAAGATATTTTCACTGCAAGATGATTTCTTGCAGTGAAAAATCATTTCCCACATTTCTTTAAACTTCTGCTTAAACAACCAGCACCTACATACTTTATCCTTTGCCAGTATAGGAATTCCCACTAAACACCTGCAGGATTACCTTATTAACCCACTTTGCATACCTCTGTACAACTTTTCTTCACTGTGATACATACAAGAAAGTAAAGTGCATGCATACAAGTATACATCTATACATACATGTAAGCGAAAAGTATAATCTTTTTGCTCTGTGATTGTACTATGCCTTGCACTGTGGTGTACTTCTTTAAAATTATAGCTTGTTAGCACAAAAATTCTAATAAAATAATAAATAATTATGAACCGCCAGTTTTTATATGCTTGAATGTGAATGAGAACGTGTAAAATTATTTTCCTGACCTTTCTAGAGTCTTTATCACACTTTGATACACTCTGGGAAATGAAATATATCAAGGAATTCCTTATTAAAAAATAAAAATTAACCAACTACCTCCTTTTTGTCTTTCTCTGGCCCTGTTTCTTAAGTCCAAAGTGAAAAGTCAAGGTACTGGTGGCTGATACTCTTTTTCAACACAGGACCTCAATCAAAGTTCAGCTATGCAATTAAGAAAGCTTGTTAAAGTTGTTAATTAATAGTTCTGTGTGATATCACCCCAAACAACCATCTCTACTGCTTGGAAATGCAAATAATTTTGCACAAAGTTCTGCAGCTTTGAATCTACTCATAAATGCTTTACAAGAATGTGCTTGTATCAGTACACCATAGCTTTTAAATTGAAGAGGTATAATAAAAAATAAATAAAAACCAACCAGATGCTCCCTCAGAATACTGTGCAATTCTGAATATCATAGATAGGAATGTGTAAAGCCATACAAATGCTATATATTGTATCACTTCTCCCTCTCCCTCAGACTAATTTTGAAGCCTTTATAGCTAAGAGCTAGAGTGCATTTGATCAGTCTCCTTTCCTTGTCCAATCTGATGCTCCAGTACTGCATGGGACCAGGCTTTAGCCAGAAAAGGTGAGAGTCATATCTCTTTCTGTCATTAGCTGCATGTTTGATGCTCCAGCTTGGCAGATTTAATCTCACATTTCTCTCCCCTTCTCCTAGCCTTTCAGACAATTAAAAAAATCCAGTGGATCCCATCAGAGGTGATAATTTTGCCTGATGTTGAGGTCACTTAATACTTTCTCTTCTAGGAGTCCCTTTTCAAAACTATAACTGTATTAAATAAACTTCTAGGATGAAATGTTGCATGACAGGTATCTGACTTGTACTGATTGTTAGCCTAAATGCTACCAGTTAATCCTGAGAACCAGGTGAAGACCCTGTTTTAAAGGTGTTTTAAACTCTATCTGTCCTTCACATTGTTCAAGGCATAAGGCATCAATATGGATTTTTTATGAGCCTGTGCTCAGGGAAAGTAAATTGTCCTTCCTGTATAAGATTGGTTCTTTCTTCTCTTGATTGCTGAATTTT